AGGAAATGTCTGTGAACCAACTTGACTCTTAGAGTCACTACGCAATGTTAGGACTTACAACCCACAATTGCATCAGGAGAAGTAAAAAAGGGTTCTACTGAGACAACAAAATAGAGCAATTTTCCTCTGACAATTAGGACAAGAATCTAAACCCACGAACATGAAAGTGCTTGTCTTATTGTCTCCTTAACTGCTTGTCTCACCTCAGTTATCTTCCAGCAGTAAAGGATTGGGTTTAACGAGGAATTTAAGTAGACCAAAACACCACTTATACTTCATGCGAGAAAGTGTGACGATATTAATTGTTAAGAAAAACTTCCTTTTGTCACTATATTGCTATTTTGATGTCACCAACTATGCAAGCTCTTAACTAGTTATGGTACTAGTAAGACTAGAAAGTTGTGCAAATCCTAGTAAAGGATAAGGACTTAGAGGGGGAGGGTAGTTGTCAAAAGCCTAGCTTGCAGGGCTCAATATGGGATTAGAACACAAAGTGCAAGTAAGGGGGGGTGGTCAGTTTTCAAATTATCAGGCTAGTGCAAAATTTTTTGGGCTCAGCAAGACTAGTGCCTTGTGGCTAGCCGCCCCAGGGTTCTGGAAGGTAATGAGAATGCTGGTCACGTGATTTATGGATGCTCAAACCCTAACCCTAGATACTGGAAAAAAGGTCAATGGAACTAGCATGATTTCTGCAATCCCAACCCTAACCATAGGTTTTAGTCGAGACTCGTCATAGCTGTTTCCTGAGGGTGTCAAATACCTTAGTCACGTGATGTCCAATATTCCCCTTAATCTACTATAGCTCGAAAAAGTTATTACTCTGTGATGTGGAAAAGAGCCGACAATAAACATCACTTGCACCCAAAGCGAACCATACACTGCTTTTCTGTATTGAATCCTATTTATGGCGATATATCGTTAAGTTGTTGGGGTTGTTGTTATACATGATCTTTTACTGGGAACCAGCGACGAAATGTGTGGAAAATCTTTGCGCACGATACGAAAGAAAGTATGAGACCTTTCAAGTATGCGACTTTTTTATCCACAAAACTTGGCGTCAAACCAAACAAATCTCCAGTTTCAGTCCATACATCTGAACTGGTGTAGTTATTCGGCGTCACCATATTCAAGCAATATATGCGTGACACCGACAATAACAACATGCAAAGCCAGCTGGTGTTATTAACCAGTTCGGTGAAACGTAACGGCTTTTGAGGAATTGGAAAAAAAAAATGTCCGCAAGGGGCGCGTGTGACACCATTAATGCTTTTCATTTTGGAGACAAAATGTTAAAAAAATACTTAGTGAAAGCTCTATATAAAAATTAGCAAGAAAATAGTACACTGGGCACGTAGGATGCTTTAAAAGGAAACATAAATGTGAGGAAAATAAAGTTGTTAGGATCTCATTTGTTTATTTGTTTTTTAATTATTTTTTCTAGTGAAATACCCTTGAAAGTAATTTAACCCACGCAATTGTTTCATCTTGGCCAGAATTTAAAGCGTTTAATTAATTAACAGGTTAAAAAAGCAAGAGTGTAAACAAAGGAAAGTTTTGCCCCATCTGTAAGGTTCATTGTTTTCGCTGCTTATGTGATAATCAAGCGACTATTCACAAATTAAAGAACACTGAGCTTCCTATTCCAAAGTCTAAGCGGTATGCCACAAAGTGGGCTTACAAAATAATTGGCGAGTGGCAAAGTTCAAGAAGAAATAAAAACGCCAGCTTTGAGGAAAGAGGATTTAAAGTCGAAGTGGACAAGGTTCAAAGCTTAGAAACGACTGTTGCAGACATCAGCGCTGAATTCTTGAGTTTTTGTATGACAAAGTTTGTCGTGAAGAAAGTAAAGAGAATGGGGAGCGCTATCCTCCTAGAAGTTTGTATAGTATCTGCTGTGGATTGCGGTGTCATTTGAAAGTCTGCAATGGAAGCGACGCCATTAACATTTTGTGCAAGGATAAAGCAAGGTAACTTTTATATAAAAATCACTAATAACCTTTATAAAAAGATCATTTCATTTGAGACTAAGCGATAATTGCACTGTTTGTCCCCGTACTCTCCTGGGACTGTAGTCAAAGCCGCAACCGGACTTTTCGAAATTATCATACATAACCAAGTGTAAGGGATCGTACACGTGATGTTTTATCGATGTTTTGATAGGCTGCTAGCCTCATGAATTATTAATGAATTTTTGAAGTATGTTATGTACCATAATGTGTGCTGGCGTTTGTGACCTTTTTTCAAAAAGGAACACATTTACCGCATATACTTTTTAGTAGGAGAATTACGCTGTTTTAGTCACCTTCGACTCATCTTTGAACCCGTTTCTTTACTGCTGAAAGATCAGCAAAGTAGACAATCAGGCAATGAGACATGCACTTTGCTGTCCGTAAATTTATCCTCCTCTAAAGTTTTACCAAAATAAAAACGTACAAAGCTAATATGTAGCATTGGTTGTAGTTTCGCTGTATTGTCCTTCATCCTAGCCGCCTCCTTTTTAGATGGCGGCTTTGCAGGTGCACCATCCTACGTACAAATGCGGTCCTAGTCTTCATTACACTCTAATGTCAGTTAAATAACAGCCGAGTCAACCAAATACACTGAACATCGCATGACATAGAAAGAGTGTAAAGCACACTGTGAGTACAGGTAGTGAGGGAAACAATTGGGAAGAAATCAAAACTACGAGAAATGTTGTTTCACCGTTCAATGCTATCCAATACACGTTTAAGTACAAGTATTTGTAATTAATATTCTGCAATTACGTTTGCAAAGCTCGACGTGTGTGGACAGCACTATACAATGCAGATCTGAATATAAGTAAATTCTCTTCTTAAACTGGTTAAAAAGTACAAAACTTTCACAATAGTCTCAAGTAGAATACACTTCAAACACTTAAACTGTCTCTGCTGCTGTACTTTCTTCTTTTCTTCAAAACCACCAAATAAAAGCAAACTAGTACTGGATTGAAAATGTTCCAAGTCACAAAACGAAGTTTTAACTTGTCTCTAAA